CTCCTCTTCGCGCCATGCCCCTTCGCCCCTGCGGGGGAAACCAAACAAATAATCCGATGGTGGCTGGGCCCTGACCGAGCAGTGCACCTGCTCGGTCGTTGATGCTGGACCAGTCGACGGCGACGCGGGCGCGGCGCTGCGCGCGGGGCGCGTGCGACTCATGCTCGCCAGACAGGCCGCGCCGCTCCAGCCAACCGAACATGTTGGTCATCAGCGCAGACTCAGCTGCCATCGTGGCCTCCGCGAGCACGCGGCACCTGGACCTCCATTCGCAGTTCGCGAGCTCCTCTGGCGGCACCTTGGATTCGGACCGCGCGCATGTCAGGAACAAGCGCCATGTGCACGGCAAACGCTGTGGAATATCCGCCCCCGTGCTCGGGGCACGAGCCGGCGCTCAGCCTCGATGAAGTCAACGGGCCCACGGGCAAACGCGTTTGGCGCCCCAGGGCGCCCCCTGGTGGAACGCCGCCAAGCCAGCCAAGACGACCCCGATATACACCCAAGACGGCCGATGGCCTCAGGATGGTCCACGAAAGGCCCAGAGGCCTCCGAGAATTCTCCAAGACGGCCCGAAACCCTCTCGGAGTGGTTCGCCGTAGGCAACCGCGATACAAGCAGAAGGAGCTGCCGAAGTATTCGTTGATGCACGGGTTGAGCTGCAGGAGCTTCGGCAGCGCCGTCTCCGCAGCCAAGGGAAGGCCGTCGGGCATGCCCCGGGCGGCAATCAGGAAAGCTCTCGGGGCTGGCCCAACAAAGATGCACTCGCACCGGATCCGGAAGAGAACCGTGCATTGCGGGCAACGGCGTCGCACCGGCGGGCTGCGCCCCTATGCGCGCGCGCCATCGCCGCCTTCACCGGCGGGCCTGCCCGCGCGGCTACACACGGCGCAACCAATCAACAAGAAGATGTCCGAGAGCATAAACTTCGGCGGGTGACAATGCACCCTGGGCGCAAATGGCAGCGACGGTGACACAGCGGGGCGGAGCAGTAGATCCAACGTGAGCAAACTGAGCATAAGCGCTTCCATCACTGCAATGGCCTGCTTGACCAGGCGGGAGTCGCCCTCGCCAGCCTGCGCCTGCTTCGCGATCCTTATCAAACTGGCCAGCCGGCCCGCGATGCCGCGGCAGGGCGATGAACGGCCGGACAAGGCGTGGAGGAGGTGGTCCAATATTCGGAATCTGCACACAACTGGAACGCAGGTGTCAGTCGGATATGCGCGTCGCCGGCCATCGCGCGCATCGAACCACCCAGTCACCGACGACGTGATGTTCACCCTGTTCAGGATCGCCGCGCGGAGGAAACCTCCCACCTTCTCGACCGTCTCCGGCGCGACTCCGTCCGAGAGGTGCCGATGTGCGGCGGCGAGATCTCGCAGCACCGTGGCCCCCGTGCGTCGAAGCATGCAATCGCACGCCAGCCACGCAGCCAAGCGAGCATCAGTGGCCGGTGCCGAACGGGAGATGCGTCGAGACCTGAGCGCCGCGCCCAGGCGAGGCTGCTTGCCCAACAACGGAGCGCGGCGCACAATCCGCCACCGTGCCTTTGGCACGTTGGGGCGTGTTAGAATGCTCCTCTGGTCCCTCTGGGAGGTTTTTCCTACATGTGCCCCCCGCCCGGCGCGCGCGCGCCGGGTCCAGAAATCGCACCCCTCGTTTTTTTGATATTTACCCCCTCGCAAGGATCGCGGCCTCCGAGGGCGAAAATTCGAGCCCCCAGAAACCCCCTAGAGGCCCCCTGCCCCAGGAGGCCCCCCAGATGCCCCCAAGAGGCCCCCAGGGGCCCCCAAGGGGCCCCGAGAGGCTCCCGAGAGGCACCGAAGAGGCCCCCAACATGTCCCCAGGAGGCCTCAAGAGGCCTCGGCACTGCCCTCCAGAGGCCCGAAAGAAGCCAAGCAGGTGCCCCAACATGCCCCCAAGGGGCCCCAAGAAGCTCCCAAGAGGCGCGGAAGAGGCCCCCAACATGCCCCCAGGAGGCCTCGAGAGGCCTCGGCACTGCCCCCCCAGAGGCCCCAAAGAGGCCAAGCACGAGATCACACCGCTGTTCCTACACTGAGCACCCTGCCTGCTGCGCTGTTGCGCAGGCACGGTGGCGGGGTTTGCCGCGGGCAGGTGGATAGATCAACGCAGCAATGGGGCGCGCTCAAGGCCCCGCTCCACGCGATCCCGGGTTTCCCTTGGAACCAACGCGTCCGGCTGATCCGCGACTAGCAGGCAGTAGAAGTATCAGCACGGAACAAAGGCTTGCTGACGAAGCCCTGGCGGTCCGCGATCATGTCAGATGCGTTGCAAGGTCCTGGGGCAGCAGGTCCGATCCAACCAAGTATTTCTCACTGTCCTTTCCTTGGTAAGAGATGCCCGTCCATGAGGTAGGCTCCCAGGTGTCTTCATATTCCTCTTGGTCTTGTTCGCTTTCCACATCAGAGCAATCCGAATCCGACGCGGCTCCCACGCTGGCTGGCGCACCTGCTGGTTCTGGCGAAGGCGCCTGGGGAGGAAGTTCCGGCGCCGACGAAGACGCAGCCTGGCGGTCCCACCGGCCGCGGTGTGAAACACCGCCGCGATGTGTACAAGCGGGCGGTCCGTCCTCGGCACGGCAGGTAATGCACCGAGGACAACCTGGGCCCTCACACCGAAGGCGCTTCATCTTGAGCCACCGCTTCGAAAAGGAAAGGGGTGCGCAGGCATCGCAGAAGGAAAGGGAGAAATCTATGGACAATGAACGAGTGGGAGACAAGGAGGGGGAGGATCAGTATGAGTAAGACGACAGGGAATGAGAGATGCGGAGGCTCGCAACTCCCGAGAGGCGTGCTACAGTATATAAGCTTGCGCGACTCACACATGAAAACATCGGACAACAGCGAAGTCTCAATACGCGGAGACGCAGACATCACAGAAGGAAGGGGAGGAATCTATGGAGAGTGAACGAGTGGGAGACAAGGAGGGGGAGGAGCAGTATGAGTAAGACGACAGGGAATGAGAGATGCGGAGGCTCGCAAATCCCGAGAGGCGTGCTACAGTAGATGAGCCTGCGCGGCTCACACATGAAAACATCGGACAACAGCTAAATCTCAGTACGCGGAGAATGCAGGTCATGATGACGATCAAGTTGAACAGGCTAGGCTCCTGAGGCCTGAAGTGGAGTTGTGAGGATGCCTCGAGCGGCGGCGCCAGAGTTGCGAGGATGTTTCGAGCAGCGGCGCCAGAGTTGTGGACGCTCCTGACGCTCCCGACGCTCTTGACGCGCCTGCGCCAGATCTCGAGCGGCGGCGCTGGAGTTGTGAGGATGTCTCGAGCGGCGGCGCCCGATTTGTGAGGATGTTTCGAGCGGCGGCGCCGGAATTGTGAGGATGTCTCGAGCGGCGGCGCTGGAGTTATGAGGATGTCTCGAGCGGCGGCGCCGGAGTTGTGGACGTCCCAAGACATTGAAAAGGGCGAGGACGACGAAGGTGGAGGGTAGTGACGGGTGAGGACGATGAGAAAGGTGAGGACGGGGATGCGGATGTGGATTAAGATAAAGAAAACGATGAAGAGGATGATGAGGGCAAGGAGGATGCGGAGGACGCGGAGAATGCAGGTCATGATGACGATCAGGTTGAAAAGGCGAATCAGAAGAACCAGGACGAGGACGAGGACGAGGACGAGGACGATGATGAGGGCGAGGACGACGAGGACGAATGATGATGCTGACGACAGTGACGATGAGGATGAGGGTGAGATGCCCCGAACAGACTTCGAACAGGTCCCTGAGAGGCATCCCAGGAAAACCACAGATGCATCGACGAGGCTCCGGGCCCATAGCCTAGGCACGGTGGTGGGTTGGTCCGAAGGCCGCTAGATCCGCCACCCCCTGTTGTTTCTTCATCACAGGGGTGCTTGGCGTGCTGGATCCTTTCGGTTTGGATTTTGATGTTTTTTTCTCAAAAGGCGACGAATCCCACAGGCGGTTTCCTCCTCTTCCCCCTCCTGCTCCTCATGATACCCCTACGCCTCCACGAACCTCCATCGCATCTTCTTTTGCCCGGTCCGCCGCGGCCGCAGAATCATTCCATGGGAACGCCCAGAACCGCGGATGATCCTGGATCCGTTTTCGAAAGCCCTAGGGCCCGAAAGCGGCCCCCGGAGCCTGAGGCCTGAAGTGGAGTTGTGAGGATGCCTGGAGCGGCGGCGCCGGAGTTGCGAGGATGTCTCAAGCAGCGGCGCCGGAGTTGTGGACGCTCCTGACGCCCCCGACGCTCCTGACGCCCCTGGCGCTCCTGACGCCCCTGACGCGCCTGCGCCAGATCTCGAGCGGCGGCGCTGGAGTCGTGAGGACGTCTCGAGCGGCGGCGCCGGAGTTGTGAGGATGTCTCGAGCGGCGGCGCTGGAGTTATGAGGATGTCTCGAGCGGCGGCGCCGGAGTTGTGAGGGTGTTTCGAGCGGCGGCGCTGGAGTTGTGAGGATGTCTCGAGCGGCGGCGCCGGAGTTGTGGACGTCCCTGACGCTCCTGGCGCTCCCGACGCTCCTGACGCTCCTGACGCTCCTGACGCTCCTGACGCTCCTGACGCTCCTGACGCTCCTGACGCTCCTGACGCCCCCGACGCTCCCTGATGTTCCCTGACGCTCTGACGCTTTTGACGCTTTTGACGCTCCTGACGCTGCTGACGCTCTGACGCCCCTGACGCTCCTGACGCTCCTGACGCTCCTGACGCTCCTGACGCTCTGACGCCCCTGACGCCTGGAGCGTCAGGAGCGTCAAAAACGTCCAGAGCGTCAGGAGCGTCGGGAGCGCCAGGAACGTCAGCACTTGTTTCCAGGGGCGCGCTGCGCCAGCTCTCATTTCTTGACTGTCTCTTCCCCCTGTAGAGGGACAGGCCCGACGTGAGTTTAGGTCCAGCCCTGGTGCAAAAGCCAGGACGTCCTCCCCTCTGCTGCCCCTCCCCGCCCGGGTCTGCCCAGGCCCCTCTCCCTCTGCCGCCACTCGCGCCGCGCGCCCGCCCCCGGACCCCCCCCCCTCCCGCCGGGTCTTGGAGAGCACGCACCGCGTGAGGCACCTCGCCCGGGGGAGGAGGAGGCAGCCAGGGCGAGCGCCGAGGGTGAGGAGGAGGGCCTCCTCCTCCTCTTCCTCCTCCTCCGCCTCCTCGTCCCTCCTCCTCGTCCCTCCTCCTTCTTCTCCTCCTCCTCTTCCTCCTCCTCCTCCTCCTCCTCATCGCTGCCTTCCCCGGGGAGGAGATGCAGCCAAGGCGAGCGCTGCGGAACGAACGGGCGGACCACAGCTGCGGACAGCCGCCCAGCCCCAACTATGAGACCAGATGGGGTTGGCCAGGGCTTCCTGGAATGCGGTGCATGCAAGAAAAACCTATGCATCGTGACTGCGAGACAAACAGAAAAGTTATGACGGAGGGGAGGTGGAGGTCATGGCTGTGGAAAAGAATCGGTGATGACCTCCTTCTCCACTACGCGCTGCGTCAGGTCCCTCCCCAGAGGAAAGGAACAGCCAAGGAGAACACTGAGGATGAGGAGGATGGCCTCCTTCTCATCTACCTCCTTCCGCCTCCTTGCTCTTGGGGCGCTCGCACCGCACGCTGAGGAGAAGGCTCGTTTTTCTCAAGGCTCAAGCAAGCGAGCCACCCTCGGCGTCGATGAACTCTACCCACAGATTCTCCAGAAGCTTCAGAGGCGAGCTGGCCATGGCTTCTCTCAAGTCCGCAGGGCGGCACTTCGTCTTCACAAACTCCCGAAACTGGTTTGCAGAGTCGCCGATCATGTGTCCGTCCTCCACACCGACGCTGAAAAAGCGCTTATCGCTTGCATCGGAGAACAAGATCTTGAACATCTGCCTGTGCGACACGGGACCGCCGTCGATCGCATAAGCAACGACCTCCGCAAACTCTGAAAATGCCGGGTCCCCGGGGTAGCGCCCTTGGAGGTTCCGTACGACCTCCTGATGATGCTCGGAGGCGATCCACTTCGGCGCCAAATTTCGGAGGAGATCGTAGCTCTTGGTGTCGGGCGAATTCCCTAGGTCCGCGACCTTCAGCTCCCCACTCTCTAACCTGCGGCAGACCGACAAGGCCTCGTCCTGCGCGACCTTCACCTCGGCGGGCGTAAGAGCCCTTCTCTCGTCTGGGTCTGCAACCGTCTCCGTCGCTGACATCGATGCCGCTGGTTTTTTCTCTATCGCCGGGGTTGCAACGTCCGCAGCGGCTGGCTTTCTCGTCGCTTTCTGCATCGCTGGGGCCGATGCATCCTCAGCGGCCGGCCTCTTCATTGTGGTGACGCTAGACAATAAGGCACTTGAGGAGCAAATGCTTGGGTCAGAAGGGCTTGAGCCAACATGCCTACGGAAATGTGGTGCGATCTATCTTGTGCAATGAATTTCTGTTCGCAGTGAGTTGTCCACTCCACTGCTCGCGCAAACATCCCACCCACCCACCCGCAACTTGGTTTGCAAAATCTCTTAAGACCGTGACGGTGGGTACCAAGTGGCACTTGGCAACGACAGCGACGCCGACGACGACAGCGACAACGACGACGACGCCGCCGCCGCCGACAACGACTGCGACGACACCGACGACGTCTCCAACGACTTCGACGACGCCGACAACGACGACGACGAAGACGACGACGACGACGACGACACCGACGACGACGACGACGCCGACGCCGACGACGACGACGAAGACGATGACAACGACGACGACGATGACGACGCCGACGACGACGACAACGACGACACCGACGACGACGACGACGTCAACGACGCCGACGACGACGATGACGACGACGACGACGGCGGCGACGACGACGACGCCGACGTCGACGACGACGAAGACGACGACGACGCCGACGACGACGACGAAAACGATGTCGCCAACGAAGACGACGACGAGGGAGGAGGGAGGACGACGACGGCGACAACGACGACAACGACGAGGGAGGAGGGAGGACGGCGACACCGCGAACGACGAAGAAGGAGGAAGGACGGCGACGCCGACGACGACAACGACGAGGGAGGAGGGAAGACGACGACGACAACGACGACGACGACGAAGACGACAGCAACGAAATAGGAGGGACGACGACGAGACGCCGACGACGGACGACGACGACGACGAGGGAGGAGGAGGAAGCACGAGCACGGCGACAACGACGACGGAAAGGACCACGACGCCAAAGAGGACGACGACGACGAACACGAGGAAAGACACAGGACGACGTGGGCGACGACGACGACGACGCGGGAGGAGGGAGGACGGCGACGACGACGACGACGACGACGACGCAAGAGCGCGCGCGCACGCTTTTGTTAAAAATCCGTGTTGCGAAACCTTGTGCTTTTCCCAACCAACCTGTGTTGTCGGGTCCTCGTTTTGAAGAGACGGTCCCCGCGTTCCTCCTCCTCCTCCTCCTCCTCCTCCTCTCCTCCTCCTCTCCTCTCCTCCTCCCCCTCCGCAGGGGCACGGTGTCGTATCCTGGCACCGGCGCTACCTCAAGCGGAGGGCACACTGTCAGGGATCTGGCCCAAGTTGGCGGAGACAAGCAGGCGGCCGTTGTTTTACGTGGTGGAGGGTTCGACTCCCTCTCATCACGATTGTTTATTTCAGGTCAGGTGTGGCACATTTTGCCCTCGTGGGTCTGCGTAGCCGGCCCGCAGGATCAGGGTCGGCGCAGCGGGGTCCGCGGAATCAGAACCTGTGTCGTCTCCAGAGGCGAGGATTTCGATTCCTCGCAGCACCACCGGAGCGGCACAACGCCTCAAGGAAGGCGGCCGCGAGTGGGCCAGGCGACTTGCCCTTATCCCGTTCCGTCGCACTTATTTGCCTAAGTGCTCCCTTCGGGGATGCGACTTCCGTTGTCGCTCATGCACAGTTCCCACAGTTCCTCTCCTCTCCTCCTCCCCCTCCTCCTCCCTCCTCCCCCTCTTACCTGCGTTTCACACACCCAGTACAGCGTTTAGCCCCATAGGGAGCTCCACCGAAGGCCCCAGTGCCACCGTCCACATGCGTCCCCCCCACTCAGTACAGCGTTTCGTGGCCCCACAGGGAGCTCCACCGAAGGCCCCTATGCCACTGTCCACATGCGTCCCCCTCACTCAGTACAGCGCTTCGTGGCCCCATAGGGGGCTCCACCGAAGGCCCCAGTGCCACCGTTCACATGCGTCCCCCCCCCCACACTCAGTACAACGTTTCGTGGCCCCATTGGGAGCTTCACCGAAGGCCCCAGTGCCACAGTCCACATGCGTCCCCCCACTCAGCACAGCGTTTCGTGGCCCCATAGGGAGCTCCACCGAAGGCCCTAGTGCCACCGTCCACATGCGTCCCCCCCACTCAATACAACGTTTCGTGGCCTCATAGGGAGTTCCACCGAAGGCCCCAGTGCCACCGTCCACATGCGTCCCTCCCACTCAGTACAGCGCTTCGTGGCCCCATAAGGACCTCCGCCGAAGGCCCCAGTGCCACCGTCCACATGCGTCCCCCCACTCAGTACAGCGCTTCGTGGCCCCATAGGGAGCTCCACCGAAGGCCCCAGTGCCACCGTCCACATGCGTCCCCCCACTCAGTACAGCGTTTCGTGGCCCCATAGGGAGCTCCACCGAAGGCCCCAGTGCCACCGTCCACATGCGTCCCCCCCACTCAGTACAGCGTTTCGTGGCCCCATAGGGAGCTCCACCGAAGGCCCCAGTGCCACCGTCCACATGCGTCCCCCCCACTCAGTACATAGGGACAAGGCCCCAGTGCCACCGTCCACATGCGTCACTCAGTACAGCGTGGCCCCATAGGGAGCTCCACCGAAGGCCCCAGTGCCACCGTCCACATGCGTCTCCCCCACTCAGTACAGCGTTTCGTGGCCCCATTGGGAGCTCCACCGAAGGCCCCAGTGCCACCGTCCACATGCGCCCCCCCCACTCAGTACAGCGTTTCGTGGCCCCATAGGGAGTCCCACCGAAGGTTACAGCGCCACCGTCCACATGCGTCCCCCCACTCAGTACAACGTTTCGTGGCCACATATGGAGCTCCACCGAAGCCCCCAGTGGTACCGTCCGAGTGCGTCCTGAAACACACAACTTGGCATTTTCACTCACCCATTACAACGTTTCGTGGCCCCACAGGGAGCTCCACCGAAGGCTCCAGTGCCACCGTCCGCATGCGTCCCGCACACCCAGTGTGGCATTTCCACCCACCCAGTGCAGCGTTTCGTGGCCCCACAGGGAGCTCCACCGAAGGTCCCAGTGGGACCGTCTGTAAGCGTTTTGACATACCCATTGTGGCATTTTACCCACCCAGTCCAGAATTTCGTGGCCCCGTAGGGAACTCCACCGAAGGCCCCAGTGCCACTGTCCGCATGCGTCCCGAAAACCCAACGTGGCATTTTTCCCCATATCCAATGCAGCGTTTCGTGGCCCCTTAGTGAGCTCCACCGAAGCCCCCAGTGGGACCATCCGCATGCGTCCCGAAGCCCAATTTGGAATTTTCACTTACCCAGTACAGCGTTTCGTGGCCCCATAGGGAGCTCCACCGAAGCCCCCAGTGTGACCGTCCGCTTGCGCCCCGGAAACCTTAGTTGACACACCACTCACCCAGAACAGCGCTCCCCCCCACTCAGTGCAGCGCTTCGTGGCCCCATAGGGAGTTCCACCGAAGAAGATTTTCACAATTGCGGTACCCACAACTGCATATGGTTGGGTCCTTCGCCAGGATCATCCCACCAGCCCTTTAGGGCGTCGGTGGTTTAACGAATTTCCTCTTCCACCCCTCCTTCTTCCCCTTCGGGGAGGGCTCAAGCAACTCTGGCTCGAGCGGGTGAGGGGGGTCTTGGGGGTCTTTCCTCTGCACACCCTACCACATTTTGTGTTCACCTACTCTGCCAGCCCTGCGCCGCCAAGTGGTGCTTGAGGGGTTTCGGACCTGCCTTTCTGTCGGGCCAGCGCTCGGCGAGGATAGCAGCTTCCGTCAGCGAAAGCAGGGCGAGTTCGATGGCTACGAGGCACTGGAGCACGTGCAATTCCTGCCACCGTCATGAATACAATGACGTTTTGCACGAGAACGGCAACAAGTGCGTGAAGTGCCACAGACCCGTCAAGATATACAAACCCAAACCTCGCAAAGATGTCCCTACAGATTTTCAGAACAATGCTTTGGTTCTCGTGAATGGCGCTGTTGGCAACGGCAAGGGCGGCGGCAAGGGCACAGGTGCGGGCAGCAAGTCTACACCGTCTACGTCTAGCCCAGCCGAAGTCGAGCGGTTACTCACCAAATTGCTCAGCGAGGCCAAAGACTTGACCACGATGAAGGTTCTTCTTGAGCAGTTGGCTGAGGTTCGTGCAACCCCGTCGGTGGCCGCTAAGCCGATCAGCTCAGAGGACGCTGTTAAGCGCGCTGACAGCGCGCTGAGGGACGCGCAGGCAAAGCATGATCAAGCCATCGCGCAGGTCATGAAGCTGCGCGAGAATCTCCAACGTGCTGAATCCAAGGAAGCAGATGCGGCTTTGGTCCTTGCAAAGGCCGAGGCAGCTAAGAAGCTGGCCATCACTACCCTCGCCAAGGAGTCAGGGCTGCTCACCTCGGACGCTGCAGCCGCCACCTCGCCCACCAAGGATGGCGGCGGCGCAGGCGGGGCCATGTTCCAGCTGCAGTGGGACGAGGACTTCTTCAAGAACCTCGACCAGTACGAGTGCGAGGAATCGGAGAAGACCGAGCTGAAGGCCCTCGAGCAAGAACTCGTTCAGGCACAAACCATCCTGGACGAGCGCGGCACGAAGGTCACGGAATGGAAGAATCGCATGGAGCAGCTCAAGAAGGCGGTGGCCGAGCGGACGGCCAAGAAAAGGAAGATGGTGGAGCAGCAGCAGGCCCCTGGGGCCACCGGTGACGCTGCGCCTGCCGTGGCGCCTGGCGCCGACAAGGCCGCGGCTGCTGGAGCAGCAGCCGCCAGCGCAGCGACGCCCGCTACTCCGAGCGACGAGGAGCTACAGCAGTCTGCCAAGCTCATCTCGGAGGCCAAGTTTGCAGCAGCAGAGATGGCCAAGGGGCAGCAGGAGGCTGCGGTGTCAGGCGTCTCTGCCTGAGCTGGGGCGCGCGGCGGCTCGCCTGCGGCCGCCGACGGTGGCGCCACTTCAGCTACAACGCAGGCTACTACCTCTTCGGGTTCAGGGTCGTCTAATGAGCATCCTTCTGTGGAAGGGGCTGGGGTAGATGAGCCAGAGTCCGAGGCCAGCAGTTCAGTTTTGTTTGGCAATGTCTCACAGTGGGGCGCGAAAGCTTGGGATAT